CTAAATGAGGCTGTTAGAATAATTGATCTGCAGTAATTTAGATGCAGATTTGTGTTTTTATATGTGGGTCATAAATAGCTATAGGGTGAAGCAGATGATTGCCACCAGCAACTGACCTTGCGTGTTGCATCTGATTCACACACACTGTGCCCCCAGTTACCCTGTTTCTTATTGGTGTACCTTACGGTTCTAATAAAAAGCAGATTCCACACACCTGAAGTCTATGTGTGACTTGGATAGGTCTGTGATTTTTTTCTTTAGTAGTAGTAGTAGTAGTAGTAGTAGTAGTAATAGTAATAATAATAATAATAATTCATGGTATTACTTTACATTATCTGAAATTTTAATTACTAATGAAGAAATGTTAGTTTCCAAGGCTTAAGATTATAAAAAAAATGTACCTGATGTTTTAAATGTGGAGCTCTTGTATGAAAAAGTCTTCATGTACATATATTTTTTAGCATCACTCCTCATACTGAATGAAAGAATTTCAAACCACTACTTGCCAATAAGTTTATAAAAAAGGGAGGGGGAGAACCTCAGTTTGGATTTGAAGCAAACAAAAATGTTTTGGTGAAATAGGATTAGTTTTTAAATCTCAAGAAAGCTTGTGGAGTCATGCAAAATAGAAAAGAGAGGTTTAGCCTGCATAGAAACAGAATCACATGAGTGAAATATTCAGACTTTCATTCATGTGATGCTTAGTTGTTCTTGGCAACAAATCTTTAAAGAGAATAAAGTACAGCAATTTTTATAGCTAAGAAGTTCAGATTGCTTGACATTTTGTGGTGTATAAAATGTAATCATTCTGGTGCAGGTAGAGAAAGCTTAAAATGGCAACATGGCACAGGTTAAGTTGATTTAGTGCCTTTACAGACTGCCAGAAATAGTGCAACTTGAGGCCACTTTAACTGTCCTGGCTCAGTGCTAGGGAATCATGGGAACTGTATTTTTTTCTGGGACATTGAGCCTTTTTTGTCAGAGATCTCTGGGGCCACAATAAACTACAGTTTCCTTGATTCCTTAGCACTGAGGCAGGACAGTTAAAGTAGACTCAAGCGACATTATTTCTGGCAGTCTGTAAAGGCCCTTAGTCTTTTCCTTTCTTTTTTAGAATGCATGGTCTTTATTAAAATATGTAGCATCAAGCCATAAATTTATCAAGCACACAAAAAAGTAAGGGAAGAATTTCAGAACTGCTTGTGTTAAAAAAAGAAAAGAAAAGGTGCTATTAGCGGTCATTTAGGAATAAAAATAAAAGAAGTGGGAAATACATAATAATCACAAAATCATTTAATTTTCTAGTTGGCTGTTTTTATCTTCTAAGTCTTCTAAGTCTTGCAAGCAAACAGGTTAGCAGTTTTAGTTCATATAGTTTTCCCTACCTAAAAATAGGAGGGGACAACATCAAATTAGATACATAACACCAGTTATAGATTCAGGCCTGTGACCTCTCTAATTAAGTCTAGCCATCTGGTGTGTGGTCTTCCTCTCTTTATACTACCTTCTACCTTTCCTAGCATTATTGTATTTTCTAATGAATCATGCCTTCTCATGATGTGCCCAAAGTGCAACAACCACAGTTTAATCATATTGGTTTTCAGGGAGAGTTCTGGCTGATCGATGAGCCTTATCACATGTCAAAAGCAAGTCAAGATGTAGTGAGAAAAATGCAGCTTTCTTCTTATCTCTCCAAATGAAGTTGTAGTGCTTCCATTCTTCTTCCAACAGGATACAGTAATAAAAGCATGACTTTTGCCAAACAGATTTTTCCAGAATGACAAAAGGCATATTTTTATGACCATCTCCCTCAGAAGTTCCTTGAGGGCATCCAAAGAGGTAAGTAGAAAGCCATTCTCTTGCCGCATCTCAGCTTATTTTTGACACACAAGAAGGCTCTATATTGTGTTTTGTTGAGTATACATTGAGTTTTCTGCTAACTATGCTCCAATCATCATCTGTCCTGTTTCAGCTCCCTGAGGTCTTTCTGCATACCAAGGGGCTCAACTAGTAATTGTTCAAAAAGAACATATGGGAGTCATAATGTCAATAGCTTTATGCGGGTCTTGATTAAATCTGTTGGTTGGGGTTTCATAAATTGTACCAGCCATAAAACCCTCTAAGGCTTTCATGAACCCTGAAGGATCCATTAGTTTTTGCAGGTGGTCATCTTAATAGATCTACCACTTCTCAGACTCAGCTATAGACATTTA